TAAAGGTTGAAACTAATGTGATTAATTTATCAATTTTAAGTTTTTCTAAATAGCAGGACTAAGAAATAGGAGCACTGGCTAAGCTAGTGACTCTGATATAAGTTTGACTTAATTACATGCGTTTTTAACAGTGGAGCATATTGTACACCAAATGTTTTGTGCAGATAGCTTTTAGCAACAGTTAGGGCCTAATTTCGTCTATTGCAGGGCCAAGTGGACGCAAAATGTAAAAAAATGGATGAGTGGACACCCACCAGTATCACAAATGACCTTGAAAAAACTCCGGATGCAAGCAGTCATAGTACTTTTTGCACATTTTTTTTGGTGCTGCTAACGTTGCTTACTTGACCTCTCCTAAACGGACTTCGGAAATTCAGATCCAACTTGTCAGCTCATTTCTGCCATTAATTACTGCAGCATTTAAAGTTTCCTGCTAAGGAGACTTGTAACTTTTTTTGCATCTAGTTGCCGAAGCGTTTTTGTTGCTCAGTGGGTCTGGGCAGAATTTTCCCCATTTGATTAAAATTAGTGAGTATCTGATGGCATAAGGATAAAAAAACGATAGTTAGCTTTTCAGTTGGTCTAAAGTAATAAATTTATAGTCCTGGAGCTGCAATAATTTGTTACATTTGTACAAGTACGTGCTCTTCAATAATCAACGGCGCTTGATAAGATTACTATCTAGTAATTCCGTCCCTACTTACAGGCAAGAAATCGTGTCAGAAAACATCAAAAGTAAAGCCCGAGGAGTTGGTGTCAACGCCGATTCATTTTGAGTATGTGTACTTTCCTTACTTGGTTTCGAACTGCTTGAGAATGAAGTAGTTAAGGCCAATCTACGAAGATGCTACTAATAAAAAGTGACAGTGTAAATCAGTACAAGCCTAAGCTGTCCAAATTCAATATTTCAGTAAAAATCAATCTTAGGGAAGATTTGCGACCTTACTGTGAAAAAGCAAAAGAGCTTGACCTCTTCAAACTCTTGAGCTCACCCTCTTCCCAATTTAATCACTGACCTGGAGCTTGAGTGACAACACTACCACCTACTCCGCATTTACTTGCGAATAAAATTGCGCTCGCTTGAGCGTCGCTGCATTGCAGTTGTCTCCCAGCTCATTCTTTGAACTAATACTGTTCAAATTAAACAAAGTAAACTCCAAATTAGCAGTAGAGTAGGAGTTTGAAATAAAAAATTATTTCGTTTTCTTGCAGGCATTTGGCTCACATCGAAGATCTGCAGTCCAACGAGAATAATTTTGTACTACCGAAAGTATCCCAAGATCCAGTCATCAAAAGCATATTTAGCGTGATTGAGAAAAATATTGTGGAAGCTGGTGGCTCAGCGAGTTTCGCCATTGCCGCTGAATGCAACGAGAAGACTCAAGCTTCTTCTTCACGTTCCTATCAGTCACTGCGACAAAAATTTTCGCAGGCTTCAAAAAATCAAGAAAATGCTAGAACTACAAGAACGAAATTTTATGTTAATGGTGCTGAAGCGTACGATAATTTGAATAATCTTATAATACCCATCGTTGCACAGCAGGAACAGCAGCAACAACAACAGCAGCAGGCACCGCTGGACCGGAACAAATTGCAACTAAATCTGAAAGATACCGCAAACACGGGGCCGCCCCAGTCACTAACAAATACCGTGGCTGTGAACTGCAAGAAATTCAATGCGACTGCTCAGAATAGCACCGAAGGCATCTTGAGGTTGCCAGTAAGAAGAAGAGATGAGACGCTACCATCAACCGATTCCGCGGATACCGTGTCACCTGTGACACCATTTACATCCGAGTTAGCGACAACCATGGCTACTAATCAAGCCGCTGAATTGGCAAAGCAAGAAGCCGCATACAATGCCATTGTTGCTCGAAATCGAACACCGCTTACGCCTGCAACTACTAGAAAACCCATGTCGGCTTTGTATGAAAAATGCGAAGCTAGGATACTCAAGAACGAAGATTCGGAAAAGTCTTTTACAGAACATACCTGCTCCAGAGATGAATCGGAAGCGTCGGCTGAAATTCGGCAAGCTCTGAAACAGTTGGACGATGTGCTGGACGAGCAAATTCCTATTGAATCTTTTTCAGCATCGAGTTCAAAACCTTCCCGAACCGCATCGGAAATTAGCACCGAAATCCTTTACAAAAAAAATGAATCGAGGGATGAAGAAAGCAGCAAGAAATCTGTAAGGCAAATAGCTGATATGCTCAATTCGAAACCGTTACATTTTGGCGTACACAATGTACCATTGAACTTTAAAGCACCGGAAAATGGTCAAAAAACTGAACTGGACCAGCAGCACAGTTTGGGAATTAATCTCGATCCAGCAGTTAATTCTGCTACAGAGACTACAATAACAGTAGAAGGTAGCCTGGAAGATCAACTGCAGCAGAGGCCATCGCTAATCGGCATTAGTGTGTTCGGGCCTAGCACCGGAAAATCCATTGCAGAAATTATCGCTGAAAAGAAGAGTCGAAATGCAAGGCTTCCCACACCGCCACCGCCCCTTGCAAAACCACAGATGAAAAGAGCGGACAGGATGCAAGGGTTTGATGCTTCCACCAGCAGCGCGAAAAACCAGTGTCTACCTACAAAGCAAACACTGCCAGAAAACCCATCTCGACTGATGTTTGCTAAGGAAGAGGACTGGTCTGTGGCAAAATCAGGCATACCAGTAGATGAGAACTCCAAGCCGTCTGTCTCGACAACGGACAGGAAGAGTGGAGACGCAGAAGCTGCGGTTCCAGCAACAGATAAAACCAGCAAAAGCGGCGTGAGCATAAATTTATTCCAAGTAAATCGAATGGTGGCACAAAATGTTTCACGTAGCTCGAGCAGGCACGCTAACGATCATCATTATGAAAATATTAGCGGTAACGGCACGCCGATGGAAACATCATTTAATGGCCTACTGGACCGCACGATGGGTCAGCAACGGACAGATGACAATGCTGCAGCTGACTGCTTGGAACAGCAACGGAGTGAGAAGAAAAGAAAAGAAACCTCTGGATCGGCAACGACTTCCACAAGCATAACACCAAAGCAGCGGGTAATTCGTTATTTTCAAGACTACTTAGGGCTGGTCTGATAATGAATACGAACCTCTTCTGTGTTTCTCTCATTCCATCCCTAAAGTTTGTTTTCTTTTGATCGTTTCGGGATAGGCTTGAGTGATAGCTTAGACCACACTGGGTTACTGCGTTATTCTAGACAGAAAGTGATGCATTATAAAAGCAGGCAACAACAGCTAGTAGTGGACGAAAGCATCTCAAGCCCGTTCACCAGGGCGATCATAAGGATGATTTTTAGGTGTTTTTGCATGTATGCAAATGCAAAAACGCATATTGGCAAGAGGCTGTATATGTATGCCTGTCTGTTCGCATTTTTGTCACCCAATTTCAACTCAAGAACCAGAAATGCTAGAAGATTGAAACTCCAGGAGTACGTGCCTACCACTTGTGCTACCTCCTCTTTGATATCATCACTCGCACGCGCCTAGGTGCCGCGTAAGGACGTCTTAAAAAATAGGCAAACTTTTTTAGTAGGAAAACGATCTCGGGAATTAGAAAGGCTAGAGAGCTGAAACTTTGCAGGGATATGCCCTGTGTGTGCGTGAGCTAAACATTTCAAATTCAGCCCCTAAGTGTGCACACTTCTTCACTTCTTAAGTACAAGCACGTAGAAGTTTCGGCAGGAAAATTGCTAACTCGGTAACCAGAAAAGCTGGAAAGCTGAAATTTTGGGAGAATATTCCCTATCTAAGTACAACTTAAAGACTTCAAAATCAATTCGCCGGTACGCGTGGTACTCGCGTACGGGCATTTGAAGTTTTTGGCGAGAAAAATACTAACTCGAGAACCAGAAAAGCGGGGAACGTGAAATTTTAGAGAGTTATTCCCTGTTCAAGTACAACATAAATATTTTAAACTCAGCCTCCAGGTATGCGTGGTTCTTACGTACGGTCACTCAAAATTTTTGGCGGAAAAAAAGTTGCTCACTGAACAGCTAGACCATTTTCAAAGAATGACTAGTAACATTGTTGAAGACAAAGGGGAAAGTCGGGCTAGCCGTGCTAGCTCGAATTCTTAGGCTTGGGCTCTTTCTTCCATCTCTGGCACTACTTTGCATTCTTGTTTTTATGCAGTTCTTTGTCCTGCTAAAGAATGAACTTAGGAAGTCCCGTGAAGGCTAGAAAAATATCCACATTTTCAAACAGCACATATTTTTAGGATACCACACGGGCAATGGATGAGCAGCAGCTGACGAAGCACGCAGCCACTGCGAATGTCAGTTCCAGACCAAATGACGATGCACAAGCTTCCACTCTCTCAGCCCCAACAACGTCATTAAGCACAGGCGATCAAGCCGATGCTGTGAAATGGCGAACCGGTTATATCACGCCACCGGATCTTCAAGAACAACAATATAATCCGGTACCTCCGCCACGCACACGTTCAAAGCGCGGCAGCTTTGGCCGCTTATCTGCACAGCATCCACAAGTAGTGGTACAGCGTAGCACATCAATGTATGTTACGAATAGTAATGAACTGATCAGCACTTCACTCGAAAACGACGTCAGTGGCGAAGCTGGTGAAGACATGAAGCGATGGTCTTCAGCATCCACACCCGAAACAGAGCATGCTCTCTATGAGAGGCCCAAAGCTTCATTGATACCACCAAAGCCAGCCCCGCGCCGCATCGATTATCTGAACAAGTTGCCGTCGCGAAATAAAACTCCTTCCGAAAATTGCAAGGTCTCGTGTTTCTCAATGTATTATTTTCATTCTGTATCTGCAGCATTTCTTTTAGTATTAGGTATAACCGATAAATGCACTGAGGTTTTATATGCGTCGTTTAACCACAATTATTTTTAAAGCTTCGACAGTTTTAGAAGCTTAATGAGGAAACTTTTTAAATTTTTGTGCTTAGAAATGATTACCAGACTTAATTCCAAGACCCGGGCCAGCAGAAAGAGTTCTTAAGTCCCATTTTTTTCGAACCAAAGTTGAAAGTTTATCTCGAATGGCTTAAAAAGATTAAGGCACAGCATTAAGGCTATGCTAGAATAAACCTGAAATCGCTGGACAATACAAAGGGTTCCTTTGGGGATTTACCATGATGAACCCAGTCTGAAACACACCGGCAGGACCGTGCGATCATGCGTTTTTGCATCGGACTTGAAGTACTCAGCTAATCAACTGTGTGAATGGTTGTCGCTTCACACCTACCTTTTGGGGTCACTAGCATAAATGATCATAAATTTTGCATGAAGTAAATGCAAAATTTCCATTTAACGATCGTTCTTTAAAATTAACCTAGTTGTTCAGTCAGAAATTCAGCCTAAATTTTTAGGGCTCGTACATAAGAACCACGCATATTTCAAAGCTGAATTTGAAATATTTAAGTTGTACTTGGACAGGGGACACTACCCTAAAATTTTAGCCTTCCAGCTTTTCTGGTTGCCGTGTTAGCAATTTTCCTGCCG